AGCGCAGGGCCTGTGGTTGGGCTGGATCGGGCCTGTGGGATGGTGGGCTGGGGCGGGGAATGCTGGGGCTGCCATGGGTCAGGCGGGGCAGGGGCGGGATGGAAGCAGGGTCAGGGCAGCGGTGTGAGGCCGTGCAGGGCTCCGTTTGGGGCTTTGGCTGCATTAGCAGTGGGGCTGGGGGCCAGGACGGACAGTGAGAGAGGGGCCGGCGGGACTGTGGGGTGGTAGGGGCTGGGTACAGTGGGGTACGCTGAGGAAGGTGCATTGTGCATGAGGAGGGTGGTGGGGGACTTGAGGTGTGCCAGGAGAGGGTGAAACCTGCAGGGGAAACAGAAGCTCTAAGTTCTGCTTGAGGCTGGGCACAACCTCGATGTTGCAACACCAAATCACTGTCACTCCATCGTTCCACGAGTCCAAGGCAATCAGTCGCTGGCACCTCGCACTCGGACTGAGGCTGACGCAGCATCGGCCTGCCTTTTGATCTCAAAACTGATGATTTAGCAGCACTCTGGATGTAAAGAACTGCTGAATTGCCAGGGCCAGTTCCTAAATCACTGGTGTTTTTCTTGGCAGGAATAAAGCCCTGCCCTGACCCAGCCTTGTTTTGATTATTAGGTCCAATGGACTGGGTGGCAGCCCAGCACTGTGGAGAGCAGAGTTTGAAGCCAACAAACAGGAGTTACGTGCTGATGCTAGCACTGACAATCGACTCAGGCAAGCCATTTAACTTCCCTGTGTCTGTATGTTCCCATATGTAAAATGATCATAATAACAATATTAATGCACATTTTCAGGGTACTTTGCAACGTTGGCTTAAAGACTACTGTGTCAGCAGATGCTGTGATTACAGCAGCCAGAGTAACCACTGTATCCTCTGAAGCCCCATGTCATCACTGTTTCAAACTCCTCTTTTTTTTTCCATTGATCCACAGGCAAGCCCTTTGTATCACTAAAATCCTCACGTCCAGAAGCTGGTGCTGGTATTTCTGAAGAGTGGGAGGGTTACTGCAGCTTTATAATAAAAATGGGATAGCAGTACACCACCAGCATCTTAAACATAAATACAGAAATGTTAATTTAGAATCAATTTTGGGATGTTTCAGACTGTAAAGTTCTTTTAACTAGATCTCTGTTGAGGACAGAGGAGCACTTTATGGGACTGTAAATTTCATGCAAACAGTCTCTGTGAAATACAGATTCCCCCCACACATGAGCTGTTCCCTCAATATCAATCATATGCCTTGTAAGTAATGTTTCACAAATATTCTGTAAATCACAGGAAAATGCTTGCAATAATGTGAAATATGACTTTCACTTGACTGTTTCAGCCGAGGCCCCTAACAGGCCATTCTCCTGTCAGCACTAACATTTGTTATGGCTAATAACATTTTCAATCACAACTATTTTGGGAAAATGGATTTATTTTAAACCTCCTTCCCCTCAAAGGAGGTCCTGAAAACGCCCTGCCAAGGACACAGACTCCTTACAGAGCACAGACCGTAAATTCCCAAATGAAATTTCATCTCAATTCTTAAACATTGTTCCTTAAAGACTTTGTTTGTTTGTTTGTTTGTTTTCAGGTCCTGAGATACATGTTCACCTCTTAGTCACTGTTTTCAGTCTGGCTCTGATAATAGGAATAAAAAGTTACTTTTGAGCAAGTATCTTGGGGATATTCTGGAACTGCTTTGGAATTTTGCTCCAGATTCCAGGAGAAAGGACTTAAGAATTTTGTAGCTAGGGAACTGGTAATCGTGGTGATTTGTATTACATTGAAAGAAACTCCTTGTTCTGAAATCCAAAGATTGTGTGTTGTTCTAACTTTTTTTCTCCCAAACCACACTTAAACCTAAAATGGTGCTTTTCTTGGGCAGGAAGTCCAAGAAGTGCATTAGACAAGGTGAGAACTCCTTTCTTATCCTTAGGCATGTTGATAGAGATTGGTGGAGGACAAGGCACCTGTGTCAATGCAGCTGTTTGCAGCCTTATCCCTCCTTCTGTATCTGTGTATGGACACAGATCCTGGTGTCTGACTCCTTGGGACTGGTCAGTGTCCTCCAGCCAAACACATACACAGCGGTGGGATTGCCACCTACCTGAGCAAATGGAGAGCTTGATCCCTGACATTTCACCTCCCTACAAAGTACACCTTCACATGTGTCAAGCTGGAATAGGGATTATCTTACTGAGCCGAAAGTGTGCCAAAGAAATTTGGCAAGATGCGGGTTGCTTTATTTAACACCTGTGTGAAGGGATGGATGGAAGGAAGTGCTGACACAGGATGTTTCTGGGGTTTCTGCCTTCTTGCCTATAGCTCTTATCATTTTAGCTTTTCTTAGATTGTTTAAAAACATGCCTGGGAAATTAGACAGGAAAAAACCTGAGCAAATGTCTGTCACATCAAAGGGTACCAAAGCACTCTTCCACTGCCAAGGCCAGGCACATATTCCTGGGGTGGATGTGGGCCCAGTCCAGATGACTGTCACTCCAGCACGTGAGTGAGGGCTGCACTGCTTCACTAAGAGGCATTTATAGCCCCCTTGACCCTGTCACTCCCCATAAATCCATACCTATTTCTGCTCTCATTTCACCCTATTTATTCCCTGGCAGGTCAGATATGAGATGCAGTGTTCATATCATGAGGCTAGTGAGAAACCAGGGCTGGGGTAATGGGAAACATCAAAATGACTTTATTAACAGAGCAGAGAAGAGAGCTCCTGTAGTGAAACCTGGCCCGGAAAATAATATCAAGTCTGTCACGGATTCATTGTGCAGCTTCAGACATACCTGGAACTCTCCTTTTGCCTCAGTTTTCCTATCTATGACATGAGTATAAGGGAAAATGAGATTAAATTAATGGTTAGTAAGAGCTTTAGTATTATTTGCCAGAGATTTTAAATGTGATTTTGATAGTAATTCCTTAGTACGGCCTTCCTCTATCTTCACAGCCCTTTTTAAACTTCTTTCTTATTTTTCTCTAGGCAGAAGAGATCCTGACTTCTGTCAAAGAGCAAGAAGCCATCAGGAAGCTCATGGTTTTCTTGCATGAATGGGATGGTGCCCACAAAGTTGCTCAAAGCTGCATCCTGGACAGTTTCATTAAAAGCAAGGCAGAACAAGAGCTGGAGCTGGAGTTCTCCCAGGGAGCCAGCTTGTTCCTGGCTCACCTAACAGCATGGCTCAGGATGGCATATCTGTTTCCTCAGACAGCTGGAGGTGCTGTGTGGTAGTGAGATGGAGAAGAGACACGGAGACATTCATATCCAGCCGTGTTCTGCAGGTCTGAAAAACAACCTGGCTATCTAAAGATGAAACTGAAGGGAAAGCCATGTAACCTGTCTCTGAGGAATGTAGAATTAGTGTTTTTCTTGCAGTGGGATGAGCATGCTGCCTCTGCCTGCCTGTGAGAGGAAGATCCATGCTCTCTTGCAAGAGACAGTACCCAGTTCAGACCTCCATCTGCTGCAGCGAGGCAGGAGGTGATGGCTCCCAGGAGCACGGCCTGCTGGCAGAGGAAGATGGGCTCCAAGGCAGGAGATGCTTCTGGCTTTGTTCCCTCTATCCTTGAAGCCACAGATACCTTAATGAATTTCTGGAGATCGGAGGTGCCTCAATTCCCCTGGAAATACCGGGGCTGTACCACCTGAAAGAAGAGGACAAAAGGGAGTCTGTAAAGCTGCTGCCACTCACTGCAGATGCTGGTAGGGAATATAAGGAGCTCATTTGCAAAAGCTACAGTAGGCAGCATCCATCTATATAGGAATTGTTTTAATTCAGGCAAGGATGTTCTCCCTGACCTCTGACCCCCGGGGTTCCTTGCTATGCTGAGCCACTCCCACCCCTCCACCTGCAGATGGCAGATCACTGCAGCGCTGGTCTGGCTGGAAGGAGTTCAGAGTCTCAGCTATTGTTGAGTGCCTGCATTTCATCCCCTCTCATTTTTTAACAAGCTCACTTTCTTCACAGTCATATTGGCACAATATTGCTGCCCTACTGGCTGCAATTCCTCCCGTTAAAACCACAAAACAGTTTCTATTCTTACCTGCAGCATTCACCTACTGCAAACTTTCCCAGAGTTCCCCTCTGGGGTGGGAGGGTTTTGCAGCTCGTATCTTTGAAAGAGCATTACAACATTTTTTTCCCCGTTTTTTCTCCTTGCCAGTGGAAACCAAACCCTGTTAGTTCTGTAGCTGGAGGATGTTGTCAGAGGCCATGGGGTGATACATGCTGTCACAGCTTCCTCCAAGAGAGACGAAGCAGCAGGATCAGCAGCAGGATCCTTAGCAGCTCTTTTTGGCATTCCAGCACCAGACTCTGCTTCCGTAAACACGCGCAGAAGGGCCTTCCTTGGCCACCTAAACCAGCTGAGAATTTTGCCAGCTGGTTTTCCAGTTTATGGCATGGCTCCTGACAAGGGCAGAGAATTTATTTCCTGGCTCTTTGAGCCACACTCCAAGTGGGATGTGATACTGGATTCTGTTGGGGTAGCAGTGAAACAGCTGAGATGGGTGACTTATTCTCCTCCAGGCACATGAGTTGGCATCTCTTTCTCTGCATAGAGGTACCAAACCTTGCCAAGTTCTTGGCCTCTTCCAACAAAGCAGAGGGTCAAGAAGACACACAGGTTCTGCTGGACTCTTCAGGCCATGGCAGTCCCAAGTACCAGAACCAGGTCTGCCTTGTACCTGTGCTGCTCTGTACCTCT